TTCCTGGATAGCCCAATTATTAAAGATGGGCAGAGAACAAAGTAGAAAAATTTTTGGTAAAGAACCTGATAAAATTATTCTCCCATATTCCCCTGCTCAAGTTTCCTGGATGATGCAAAATGATGATGAGTGGGTCATCTCTTGCATTAATTACCAAGGTACTTTTGATAACCATTACCCAGCTGACAAACTCCTTCAGTTTCTCAAGGCTCACCCTGTAATCTTTCCTAGAAAAACTTCTCTGCAGCCCCTCACTCATGCTGATTAGTTTTTACCTATAGGTCTTCTAAAGGAATTGCTGCCTATACTATTAATGGCATTACAACCTCTTCTATATCCCCTTATCGCTCAGCCCAGCTGGTAGAACTTTATGCTATTTTACAAGTTTTTCAAAAGCTTCCTAATACTCCTTTTAATTTGTATACTGATAGTTCCTATATTGCTCAGTCTGTTCCTTTATTAGAAACTGTTCCTTATATTAAGCCTACAACAAAAGCCACCCCCTTTTTTCTATACTCCAGCAACTTATACATAAGAGAAAACAGTTTTTCTTTATAGGACATATTCATGCTCATTCAGGCCTCCCTGGGCCCCTGTCATGGGGTAATGAGATAACTGACAAGGCTACACAGCTGGCCCTTTTTGCTGAGCTCACGCCTATCAGTCAGGCCCAAAAGGCTCACTCTCTTCACCATCTCAATGCTCAGACCCTACGCCTGCTTTTTAAGATTACCAGAGAGCAAGCCCGCCAAATTGTCAAACAGTGTCCCAACTGTGTCACTCAGTTACCTGTTCCTCATTTGGGAATAAATCCCCAAGGCTTAGTGCCCAATGACATCTGGCAAATGGACGTTACTCATGTCCAATCCTTTGGTAAACTTAAATATCTTCATGTTACAATTGATACTTTTAGCAGCTTCATTTTTGCCTCACCACAAACAGGTGAAGCCTCGAAAAATGTTGTATCTCATGTCCTTATGTGTTTTAGTGTTATGGGAAAACCTAGAGTTATTAAAACTGATAATGGTCCTGGCTACACTGGAAAGAAGTTTCAAGACTTCTGTCACCAGTTGCAAGTCAAACATATTACTGGTATCCCTTACAATCCCCAAGGCCAAGGAATAATTGAACGAGCTCATCAGTCTATAAAAAATACCTTAAATAAATTAAAGATGGGAGACCTCTATCCAATGGCCGGGTCTCCCAGAAATATTCTCCATCATGCCCTATTCATCTTAAATTTCCTCACCTTGGACACTCATGGAAAATATGCTGCTGACCGCCTGTGGCATCCACAAACTAAAGGAAATTATGCAAAAGTTATGTGGAAAGACCCAACCACTGCTCAATGGAGCAGTCCTGACCCCGTCCTCATTTGGGGTCTTGGTCATGCTTGCATTTATGATACCAAGGAAGGAGCAGCACGTTGGCTGCCTGAAAGACTTATAAAACAAATAAATTCTAACAATGTATCCAGGGGAAATACAGACCCTGAGATTGTCCCCTCTGGTTCTTTTATAGAAAAAGAAAATGAAATCATATCTACAAGCAACTGTACTCCTGCTGATCCTGCCAACGGTGGTAAGTAACCCTATTGAGCTAAATCCACACTAGCCAATAAATATAACTTGGGTCATCTACAATACAAAGACTGGCACCATAGCTAATTCCACCTCCAAAGTGACTCCCCCCAACACTTGGTTCCCAGACTTACTGGTTGACATTTGTGACCTAGTCACTACTGCTTGGGACCAAAAAGCTTACCCAGGATATGGGTGCAAAGACCCAGGGGCCCGGAGTGACACCCGTAAACAGCATTTCTATGTCTGTCCGGGACACTCTAGATCATTAGAACAACAACAAAACTGCAGGCCCAGAATTTTTCTTCTGTAAAGAATGGGGTTGCGAGTCTACTGGGTGGATAACTTGGTCGCCACCAATAAAGGATGACCTCATTACAGTAACCCGCTATGGGGACTATACTACACCTGGAGTGAAAAAATGTCGCGATAAAGGTGATTGCGGGCCATGTTATGAGCCCCCAAATACCTGGGAACACCGGGAGGAAGATGTAACACCTTGGTCATTAAATTCACTGAGGAAGGCAAAAAGAATGGGTCATTGGAAAGACATGGGGACTTGTGTTATATCTTTCTAGCACCCCAGGAGTTTTGTTTTCTATTAAACAACTTAGAGGACCTCCTCAGGTACCATCTGTCCCCGTAGGTCCAAATTCAATCCTAGCTCCACCACCCCCAGTCCGGGATCCCAATATTTCTTACTTCCCAGATTTTAGAAAATATGCAGAATACTTCATTTTCTGGCTATGATACATCTCTATCTCTACAATTCACCACACTTTGTTCTCCCAGAGACTCTGAGGAAATTTTAGTTAATCTTGTCAAGAATGCCTTCCTAGCTCTAAATTATACCAAACCTGAATTGACCCAATCTTGTTGGCTCTGTTATAGTGTTAGACCTCCTTTTTATGAGGGCGTGACAGTCTGAGGATATTACACTGTCACTCAAGATCATACAAAATGCAGATGGTCTCAACAAGGCCCTGCTAGACTCACCTTGCAGTCAGTACAAGATTCTGGCCTATGCTTGGGAAGGATGCCCAACACCCACCACCACCTATGTAATCAGACTCATATCAATTATACTTCAATTCAATCAGGATCTTATATAATTCCTCCTGAAAATGCTTGGTGGGCTTGCAATGATGGCCTCACCCCCTGTATTTCAGGAGACTTGCTCAAAAGAAACCGGACTATGTATTGTATCCTGGTCCAATTAATCCCCAGGATGACATATTATTCCTCAGAACAATTCTCCACTTTTTATCCAAAAGATGAGCACAGCCTCATAAGATCAAAAAGAGAACCTATAACAGCAATTACATTAGCTGTGTTGCTTTCCCTCGGGATTGCAGGGGCCGGGACGGGCATAACCTCTCTCGTTCTCTCCAACAAGTATTATTCAGAACTTCTCCTGACCATAGATGAAGACATTGAACGACTGGAGACCGCCATCTCCCACCTTGAGACTTCCCTCACTTCCCTTGCTGAAGTTGTCCTACAAAATAGGAGAGGCTCAGACTTACTTTTCCTCCAACAGGGAGGCCTATGTGCTGCGCTCAAAGAAGAGTGCTGTTTTTATGTAGACCACTCTGGAGTTATAAAGGATTCTATGGCCAAGGTTAGAGAAGGCTTAGAAAAGAGGAAGAAAGAAAGAACACAATCCCAGAATTGGTTCCAAAATTGGTTTTCCTCCTCTTCCTGGCTATCTACCCTACTACCCTCCATATTGGGGCCCCTAGTAGGCTTGTTAATTCTTCTCTCCTTTGGACCCTGGGCTTTTAGAAAGCTTACTGACTTTGTTAAGGAACAGATAGATGCCATCCAGGCCAAGCCTATATGAGCTTATTACCATCGCCTTGATCTAATTGACCGTGGCATAGCTGAAGAGGACCTTCCACCTCTTCCAACAAGGGCCATAAGAGTTTAACTCAAAAATTCTAAACCCAATAAATCTAAAATTGGGTAAACCCTGTTGACTACAACAAAGGGCACTGAAGACTCCTTGGTGGAACCAGCTAGTACTCAGAGCTAGTATACTCATCACCTACGTGGGTATAGGCACCTACAGAGGCCTGGGACTAAATACCCAGGGAGGGAAGGTACTAATGTGCATGAGTACCTGTCTGAGTCCCTCGAGGAGCAAACTTGACCACATAGGGGCTAATACCAATGATCTCTGAGTTCTTGTGGCCACAATCTCCAAAAGACCTCAGGAGATAAAGATCTCTCAGAGATCGCCCCTCTCCAGATACAGATGACCCCAATGACAGGTAAGACAGTCGAATGCTTTTCCCATGAAAGGTTTGGCTGATCAACCTAAGACAGGGGCTTCTGTCAAAATTGTCGAGTCGATACTCCCCCTCTATGGTTAATGCCTATCAGCCTCAAAAAAACAGAGGCCTCTACGAGTAGCCCATAAAAGCCACAGGATGTTATTCAGTCTGGATGTCATTGGGTTTCCTTCTATATTTCCTTCTATGGTTTCCTTCTAAATTTTAGGCCCTAAGTCTTGACATGAATGGCTCTATTTTGCTTCTTTTAAAACTATTAAGTATAGAATTGCTTCTTTTAAATTTAATAAATATCATAAGGTTTCTTCCTAGTTTAATGATAAGTTGATTTTTGAATTAAAGCTTCTCTCCAGCTTAGCTATAAATTGATTTAAGAATTATAGAATTGATAAGGTTTCTTTTTCATTTTATTAAATAGGCTTCTTTTAAATTTAATAGAAAGGGAGATGTTGGAGACCAAGACCTATGTGCGTCTCCACCCTCCGTGTGTGCCCCTGATAGGAACTTTACACCTTCCCGGGGACATTCTAACCCCTCCCGGCGACATTCTGGCCCTGACCTTATCTAGCTAGACCAGCTTAGCAACCAGGAAAGTCCCTGCTCATCCCTGACTGCATTTAAGCTGCAGTGTGAGAAATAAAGGGGGTTAACAAAAAATTTTTGACCCAAAAAGATCTCTGCCTGGTTCTTATTTTCTTGCATCGTTCCTGTTCCCATTCCGGGTGCTCCCCTCCTCGAGCCCTACTAATAACGAACCCCGCTGGCCGTGGCAGGTGTGTAATGATTTACATTAAGATAATTTTGATACTGCGAACACAGGAGTACTACAGTGTCTGGACCTCCAGAACTTTCATAGATATTGAGACAGTTGCCCGTGCTGGCCTCCATTTTGTTTTCCTCCTAAGTCTTCCTCCTGGCTTGGTGGGACTACAGGCTTGCATCATTAGGAACAGCAAGACTCTGTTCATGGTAAAATGATGGGACAGTAAATGTGCTCAGGATAAAATCCCATCTTTTCATCATTCCATCACTGGCTGGAAGAGTGACACTATATACCTTCCTGTGATGGTAAGAAGAAAAATTGAGCTGCAGGAAACTTAGCCACATGTTCTAGGGTGTAAAAAAATTGACATTGTATTCTGCATTGTATTGCAATCTATGCATTACATCAGATATTTCAGATATAAAGTAGACATAATTTTAGACACTGGCACATTGGTACTTTATGTGTCTAAGCATGATTAAGCCTGGAGCAAGCTATACAATGTTTACTGCACTATAGGTATTTCATTGCTCAGTTATATTTTCATGTTACCACAGGTTTATCACAACGTAACCCCATCAGAAATTGAGCACCATTTGTATACAGAAACATTGTGTAAGATATTTCATTGTTAAAAAGGCAAAATATAAGTAAAGGAGACCAACTGGGCCTCATGCTCACAGCTTGAGTAAGTCTGTGTATGTGTTTTAGAATGTCTGCACATACCTCAGCGCTCTTTATGGATAAAGACATTGTATAAATTCATCTCTAAAATTGTTAAAACAGCACAATCTGAATCATAAAGTAGTAAACTTCCTCTATTTATTAAACTGACTGTTTCTTTTCCTTCGTGCCCTTATTTCATCTTCTTATCAGTATTGATTACCAAAGAGAATGTCAATCCAGCATCAGGGAATAGAATAAAGGCATTTGCCTCATCACATCCAATAATTATTCTTTCCAAAACAACTTCACTGTGAACAAATTGCTTTGAAAATGTTGTTGCTGATAAATCATTCCATCATTTATACCTCTGGAGAGATTTATTACTACAATTCCCGATATCCATTTGCGGAAATGTTATGTTCTTGCTGACCTGTGGTAAACAGAAACTCACTGCACTATGGTTTATTTTTAGATAGAAGTGTTGGAAAAGTTAACACAAAATTAAAAATCATCATAATATAGGCATACAAAGTAAGATTTTCATGTTAAGGAAATGTAAAATTTTATAAAAATCATAATATTCCAACATGAAGGCAACTAGGCAAAACTATGTAGTTGATATAATATACAATTATGTTGGGTTATATGCAAGTGTTTTGTCAGGATATGAAAAACACAATATTACTAATATACAAGTTGTGCGAAAACAATGGACCTTTGTCAAAAACACATACACAAGCCTCTCATTCACCATCAAATATAACATCAAATTCAAAAATACCTTTTTACTCAGATTATGGAGTGTATATACCAACAAAATCCAAATCAAACCTAGTAGGAAATCCCAACAATTAAAAAACAATGAACAAATGTACTTTTTAGTACTCTATTCCTCCCAATTGTAAAAACAAAACAAAACAAAATAAATACTAAATACTAATCCCACTTGGAACTGAAAAATACACTTCATTGCACCTTGTTTAACTAGGAGACACTATGTTATGCTCAAAGACATTGGCATACACTAAAACATGATTACGTCAGCTCGATCTCTTTTCTATACTAAAGATCACATACATAGTTCAGATATTTACAAGTGACTTACTGAAAAGCAGAGTGAACACACTTTGGGATATCTCCATCTTGGAGAGTGTTTTCTACAAAATTAATGAATACTGATATGAAAATGTTCATATTATTTCTACAGGTCTCTATTGTGAAAGTAATTTTCACAGGATTTTCAAAATAGGTTGCCATCTAACAGGCTTTCTTCCCAGTGTTACTTCTTTCATATATTGGACAATACCTGTCTATGCCAAATGGTTTCCCATGTTGCTTACATAGGCTTTCTCCTCAGTGTGACCTCATTCATGTATTTAACACTGTATCAGCTGAATTTTTCACATTTCTTATATACATAGTTATACTTGAGTGTTAGTATGTCTAAAAAATGAAGGGCTTACATCAAAACTTTCCCACACTGCCTAATTTGCCCCAGTGTGCTGTCTTTTATATTTGATGGAACTTTTGTATACAGAATGCTTTCCCACATTGCTTAGTTTGTTCCCAGTGTGAATTTCTTCACGTTTGACCAGTACTCTGTTGAATATTTCTCACATTACTGACACACATAAAGTTTCTCCTCAGTATGATTTCTTTCATGTTTTTGAAAATATTTTTCTGTAGTGAATGCTTTCCCACATTGTTTACATATATAAGGTTTCTTTCTGGTGTGAATACTTTCATGTCTTCGACAGTGACTGAGTGTGCTGAAAGCTTTCCCACATTGCTGACACACATAAGGCTTCTCACCAGTGTGGGATCTTCTATGTCTACGAAATGTGGACTTATCAGCAAATCCTTTTCCACATTGCTGACATACATATGGTTTCTCCCCTGTGTGAATTCTTTCATGTATATGACAATTAGTCTGTTGGGTGAAAGATTTCCCACACTGCTTACATACATAGGGTTTCTCCCCAGTGTGAGTTCTTTCATGTATTTGAAAATGATTGTGTGTAATGAATGCTTTCCCACATTGTTTACATATATAGGGTCTCTCCCCAGTGTGAATTCTTTCATGTCTTTGACAGTGACTATATGTGTGGAATGCTTTCCCACAATGCTTACATACATAGGGTTTCTCACCTGTGTGTGATCTTGTATGTCTATGATATGTGGACTTATGAATGAATTCTTTTCCACACTGCTTACACACATAGCATTTCTCATTTAGATGATTACGTTCATGTGTTTTATAAACTCTCTGTGTAGTGAATGTTTTTCCACATTGCTTACATACATATGGTTTCTCACCAGTGTGACTTCTTTCATCAGTTTTACAGTAACCATGTGCAGTGAATGCTTTCCCAGACTGCTTACACTGGGGTTTTACTCCAGTGTGAATACTTTTAAGTCTTTGAAAGGAATTACAATGAGCTAGTGCTTTCACACATCCCTGAGATATACAGGTCTTCTCTCCAGCATGTTTTCTCTCATGTCTTTGAGTATGGTATGAAGAAATAAAAGTTTTCCCACAAGGTTTGCATACATATGGATTCTCCCCACTGTGCTTTCCTTCACGGATTTGAACACCACTGGGTGTGCTGGAGGCTTTCACACCTTTCCTACCTACAGAGGTTTCCTCTCCAGGTTGAGGTCTTTCACTAAGATCAGAGTAAGCTTTTGCACACCGCTCATATTGATAGGGTTTCTCTCCACTCTCTGTCCTTGCACACTTCTGAAAGGACTGGAAATCATTACATTTATTCAGCTTCTCCTCAGATCCTAAATACTCATGTGGCTTCAGCCCAGTGTGAGCTATGATGGGCACATTTAGGGTCACCTGCCCACTCGGGGGCTTTTCACAAGCACTGCTTTCAGTTGGCTTTACAGCAGCTTGCTGCATGTCCACATTAGTATCTGGAGTCCAGAGGAATAATTCTTCCTGTTGTTTCCAAGCTTTACACTGATAATATTTTTCTACTTCTTCATTTCTGTAAAGAAAAAAGATCAATTACAATTAAAAAGAGGGTTTTCATATTAATAACTGAACAGGACAAGTTCTGGTTTGATGTCTGCTAAATAATTTTGATAATGAATTTACCTAATACCCTGGAGGAGGCCTTCTCAACACCCATTCCCAAAAGGATGCTATTTATTTGGAAAACTTTAATTGGTGTGTATCTAGTTTCATTTTAGGAGACAGGTGCCTATGTGTCTCACATAGTAATGATTTTTGACACCATTTTACCCATCACTCTCCCCTTCTCTCTTTACTCTAATCACTTTTTCCATCTCCAAAAAGTTAGCCTTTTTGTTTTCCATCTCCTCTCTTTTATTTTACTCCCTAAATATGTTTTTAGTTTCTCATTTAAAAGAAAACATACAATATTTTACTGTGTCTGATTTATTTCACTTAACATGAGATGGAGTCCCATCTATTTTTGGGTTTTGGCCAACGACCTGATTATCATTCCTTATGGCTGAATATATAACGCTTTCTTTTTTCAGTCCTGAAAATTAAACACAGCTATTAGCACTGAATTACATTTTCAGCTTTTATATTTCTTGTTCTGAGAGAGATTCTCATCGATAAGTAATTTCCTTAGGCTGAACATAAGGTTGTCATGCTGCTGGTTCAGCTTCCCAGAGTGCTGCAGTTACAAGAATCCACTGCCATGCTGAGCCTATCCCACGTTTTCTTTATCCAGGCATACAAAGATACAGAGCTCAACTGCTGTGAATTGCATCTAGAACTTAGCTCTCGTGAATTCTTATACATATCCTGTTTTGAGCAACAGTGTGCACATATCACTAAAATATGAATTTAACTCAGTTCAGAATATAGCCAGTGATTTACACCTGGATCAAATAACAACTTTGGTTTTTATTTTGAGACATCTGTATCTTGATTATCATAACGGTTGTTCCCTTTTACATTCCACTGACAATGTATGAGGATGTGCTTTTAACAATTTCAAAATATGACTGAACTCAATGCTCAGGAGGATGTTTTGAAAACATCTATTATTACAACACTAGCACTCATTTCTATTTTGCTTCCAGTTTAGCTATTTTTTAGACAATTAATGTCTTACATCCCTATGTATTAATAGATATCTTGATGAGTTCCTCTTAAAATTCAAAATTTATCCTTTTCATATATGCATACACAATACAAAAATGCAGTTTTATATATTTCAATGATGCTGATCATGAAAGAATTTTCTTATACTGATATACCAGATAGTGACATTTGTTGCACAATATCAGTAATAACTCATTCCCTATATTGGAATATTTCTGTATTCAATTGTTGAATTACACAAAATCAACCTCTGGAGAATTTCTGTGAGATTAAATAAATTTGAACATGGCCTCATTTGTAATATTTTTGCTCACACACCAATTCTTCAGGAATATTCCATTTTCTTATGAGTACAAATTACCTTAGATTCCTGGAGCAATTTTTGTACATTCGTTCAATTTGCTGGTTATCCCAGGTTCTTCCTGAATTGTAGATAGACAAATAAAAAAAGTTACCATATGGGCCAGGGATTTAGCTCAATAGCACCATGCCTGCCTTGTAAGTGCAAGGTCCTGACTTCAATCCTCGGTACCAAAAAAAGTCACTATATCATTACATAAAGATTAATAGACTCCAGTTAGATTCATGGTATAATATAACCAGACTGAGATGGTCTTCAAAGTATTTCCACATTCTATTTAATGAAACTGCACCAATGAACAAGAACCAAAGCTCTCTCACTGTATAAATGAGAAAATGATGTCATCCTTACCTATAACAGTCATATTCATAAATGTTTCCCACATCACATCTCTGTAGAGCTTCTTTTGGGATGAATTCAGCAAAGACCACTCTTCTATGGTGAAGTTCACAGCTACATCCTCAAAGGTCACTGGGTCCTAAATAATCACACATTTCCTGAAGGAAGGTTGAGACACCTTGAAGTCTCCATTCTTCTCTTAAAAAGCTGAGTTGAGGTTATACCATTCAAATACTAACTCCATGTCTTGGTCAACAAGCCCATGCGTATGCACATATTTTCCCACAGCAATTTTGATGGTAGGTTGCAACTCGTTACTAAAGCGACAGCACAATAGTAAGTAGCACTGGTTGCCCTGCAGGGTCACCCAAATTGTATTTGTGGACTGTCTTTAAAGCAGAGCTCATAGAGGGAGCCTGACAATCACTCTTCACAAAACATAGGGGCAGATAATGAGTAGTTTTGATACACCATAGATTATCTCTTTTCAAATCTTATTCATAGAATTGAGCCCTTCTATACAGGCAGCATTTTGAAACTTGCATCTGGCTTCATAGAAAAAAACTTAACTAAGCATTAAATAAGTTTTATGAATAATTCAAATGCTAATCAAAACAGTTTTATGGGAGCAAGTGTATGGATAATGAAAATAGTGAAGTGTGTTGCATTAACTTGTAGCTCAGAGACACCAAATGATCACCTTAAACTCAGATATAAGAAATTCTAGGATGGTGTAAGAGAAAGTAATGAGTGGAAGAATATGAATACAATTTATTAAGTGTGTTGAAAACCAAGATATCAAAAAGTAATTAGGCCCCAATTACAAAAGGGAATCTTTAGCCAGATGTGGTGGTACAAGCCTATTTTGCCAGAACTTCAGTGACTTAGGTAGGCAGATTTCCATGAGTTCAATGGTCAGCCTGGGCTCTGTAGTAATTTCAAGGCCAATCTGAATTACAAAGTCAGACCCTGCCTCAAATTCCTGCCCCTAAGAGGAAAACTTAAAAATAATTGATCACTTAGAAATCACACCTTTGATTTGTTAAAAAAAATTACAGCTGTACAGTATAATAGAAGACTAACAACATTCAACATCTTGTGAGCGAGGTGAAAGCCTGCATAATATACATTGAAGACATTCAAATTCCACATTTCATGTCAGTGTATGATTAGTAGAAAATGACAAATGTATCTCAGGAAATGAAGACAGTCTTCAGTGAATCCACATGTAAATAGAAAATAGATTTTTTCTATGGAGGTGGAGTTAAACATCTCTGGAAGAAATTGCAATGTTTCAATTATGTTCAGGGAGAAATGGGTATGTACTTAGAAATCTGGATTGTGTACACTACTATCCTATGTACATAGGTTACATATTGAAAGGGGAAAGATAAACATGAATGGCTTGGGAATTTATAATGAAAAAACATTCAGATAAGAAAAAAGTATTTCCTGCAAAAAAATTA